AAATAAAGGTCAAAGGTCAAATCCAAGGGCATATTTGAAATCTACACATATGACTTTTGGAAAGCTGTCTGTAGAAATTTTTCCCATAATTCCTTCCGTAGGGGAGATAATTAGCATTTAATTTTGCCATTTTTGGACAAGGGTGCATTGCAATGAGTGCCACACCTAGACCCCAATACCGACAAAGCCCAAATTTTACGTGGAACGAGTTGAGATTATAGGTGACCTAAATCCAAGAGATGGGTATGGAGGCCCTTACCGTCTAGGAGGAGAAGCGGTAACGGTGACTTGGCGGCGGAGCCGCAGGAGCCGGCGGAGCCGCAGGAGCCGGCGGAACATACGGGTCGGGACTAAAACCATGTGTACCGCCAGCGCCTACGCTGGTGGTACAATAAATTCAAAAACCAAATGCACATTTTTCACAAGTAATAAAGGCCGAGTTCAAAATCAGCTTGATCTGTCTTTTTTTGCAAAAGCTATGCTAGTTTATGAATTTTAGCATCTCATATCTTTGACATTTTTGGAGATATCAGGGCTAGAAAAATTGCAAGGAGCAGTTCATCGTGAAAAATAGGTCTAAGGTCTATTTCAAGGTTGCAGTAATATTGCCAATATATGACTTCCTACTCAAGTTCATTACTTACTATGGGCATCCCTTTGCTAGTTTTGGTCAAATGCCAAATTCAAGGTCACAGCACCTTTGCAAAATACAGGACTTCCTAACTTCAATAGGGCATTTCTTTGCCAGTTTTTGATATACAAGGGTCAAAAATCTTGCACAGTTCAGTTCATGGTGTAAAGTAGGTCAAGGGTCAAATTCAAGTTCAATAGTAAGTATGGGCATATCTCTCTCCTTTTTGGTTGGATCCAATGTACAATACACTCAATTGCTTAATAATCAACTTTTACTTAAGTTCTCCTGTGGCCATTGGGAAAATGCGACTTGCACAAAAAATGGGTAACACAACTTGGATCAACCATAAAAACCTTAATAATAATCTTCAATTGTGCAAAAAATGTACCTCTTTTTTCTCTTGCTTGGATTTCTTACTGGCAGCCTTTAAGTTGAATTTGAATGCCTCTGGAAGGAGATATACAGAATCTCCTAGCTTGTAGTCCACCCCATCTCTGCTAACAGTGCCATAGTACATATGACTGGAGGAGTCACTCTCTGACGATAATCTGTCAGAAGGTTTTGGTCTTTCTTTCTAAAATATTGTAAATATACATTGTAATTACCTGTCAAATATGGAAAGATTTAATTGTTTATCTATAACAGTTCCCGTAACTGGGAGACCTCGCCTCTTCAAACAATAATCACAGCATACCATGGGATATATATTCAGTTTTGCAATATAACCAATTTTTATGATCATAAAACCTTACTAGTATCAACTTACTATTTACCTTACTCAACTCCATGAGTCTGCTGCAACTAGCACAATGCTTATGCTTACTGTCCACTTTAGGATCAGAATCAAAAGGGGGGTCTTCAAATCTTGCCAACTCTGGGTCATACCTGGAAGCATCAAATACTCAAAAGATTCAATCTGCTAGGACACTATAAAGACACTTCATGAAAAATCCTGATGCTTCAGTTGAAAGCTAAGCTATTTTAAAATTTCAAAGTGCAATGTGAATATCAACATCGCACTGCATTTTGGGAAGAACACTTACCACATAAGATCCCAATATAAGTGCAAAAATCTGTTTACTCATCAAATTTCAAAAGTCAATTCATCTTGCAAAATAGTTCTATAATGTTTCAAAGATACATTTACATACTCTATAACTGTTATGTTTTTAAAATGTACAAAGTAATTGTCCCAATCTGTAATGGTCTGCCATCTTGGATATAAATATATCATTCGGGCGTATAAATCAGCAGTTTCGCATAAAAAGGCTCTTTCTATTTTTACAAAAGATTCATATGTGTATTTTTTACCCCTACTCTTTACGAATTAATAAAGCATTTATTTTAAAGCCCCATAAATTTCCAGACACATGTCAAAGGAATTTTTTACTCAATGGGACTGTACAGTGTCAGCTGCATATCGATGCGAGGTCTTCTCTGCTAAGCTAATATATCACCTAAATAAATTATACCAAATATTGTTCAGCAACTTTTTTTGATACCAAATATTTATACAATAATTAAACATAATTGTGATAATTTTTTATCTTTAATTTATATTCTTTGCACCCGTTTTCACTAGCCATCTCTTAATTGCAACCCCTTATTACCATCCAGATACCAAAAATGAGGTTTTTCCTGCATCTAATTATTAAAAAAAAATCTTGTGCGGCTTTAACTCAATAAAAATCTCCTCAAAAATATAAAATATTGATGTTTATATTTCTTGTTGCAATGTATAAGCATACGCAACTCAAAGGTTTAATTGTCAATTAAGCACCTTTCTATTTTGAGGTGAGATAGCAATAGGTATGGGGCATAACTTCATCCCTGAACAAGATTTTTAAATGAAAATTGGCAGATGACCACAAGTGTATAGACTACAATCCTGTGCTGTCATTTTGAGTTCATCATCATCATTCCTCTTTGTCCCGTATGGAACATAAGGCCACAGTCACTTCTTTCCATTTGGCCCTATCTCTGGCTACTTGCTGGGTCTGTCCCCATGTAAGGTCCCCCTCCCTCAGCTCTGCCATCACTGTTCGGCGCTAGGTGGTCTTGGGCCTTCCTCTCTTTCTTTTTCCAGGTGGTGTCCATCTCAAAGCTACCTTTGGTACTCGGTTCTCGTCCATCCAAAGTACATGGCCGAGCCATTGAAATCGCCAACGCTTGATCTGCCCCACAATACTCTGGCTCCCTGTCAGTATGTACAGATCATGGTTGGAGATCTTGTTCGGCCAGAATATGCGGCAAATCCTGCAGAGACACCTGTAATGGAAGGACTCCACTCTGCTCATGTCAGACTTTGTAACTCTCCAGCATTCAGACCCGTAGAGTAGAACAGACTTCACACTGCTGTTGTAAAGATGGACTTTGGTGTGCAAACTGTACTGCTCCAACTTCCAGATTGTGTGGAGTCTGGCAAATGAACTCTGGGCCTTGCCAAGTCTTGAACTGATGTCCTTCTGAGCCCTGTTGTCTTTGCTGATTAGACTGCCCAGATATGTGAAGTTGTTGACAGACTCAAGTGGTTTCCCACTGATGGTGATAGGTGCTGTCATACTGTTGTTGATACCCATGACCTGGGTTTTGGTGGTGCTGACGGCAAGTCCCGCTTGTGCAGCAAATCTACTCAGACGGTCAGTCTTCTCCTGGAGATGGCCGTGTTTGGAGGACAGGAGGGCAAGGTTATCAGCAAAGTCAAGGTCTTCTAGCTGGGATAGGAGAGTCCACTGGATGCCTCTGGGTTTGTCGGATGTTGTCTTCTTCATGACCCAGTCGATGGTCACAAGGAAGAGAATTGGGGACAAGATACAGCCTTGACGTATACCTGAATCCACTGGGAACCACTCCGTCAGGGTATTGTCCAGGATAACACTGCATTGGAATTGGCTGTAGAACATGCTGATTAGAGTGATGATCTTAGGTGGTACACCATATGACAGCAGTATTTTCCACAATGTCTCCCAGTGCACACTGTCAAAGGCTTTCTTGAAGTCGACAAAGTTGATGTATAGGCACAGCTCGATGATGTTGCGCAGGGCAAAGCTCTGGTCAATGCATCCCCTGCAGCCCCTAATTACAGATTTTTATTAAACAAAGGCATTATTTTGCTTTATCAATGATAAAATCTGAACTTAGGCTTTAAGAAAAATTGCTGAAAGAAAGGGGTTCACGTGACCTTCCAAACAGGTCTTGCAATGTAGCATGGAAGGCCTTAATGCATGGGAGATGTAGAATCTTTGTCCACTTCATATCTTTCTTCTATGCACACAGCAGAAGGTTGCTCAAAGACTATAGATACATCACATGGGTTTGCTGGGAAACTTTTAGATGCCCAGCTAAAGAATGGCTATGATTTGGAAGCAGACAAGCTGCTACTGTTCAGTCAATTTGTGGAGTTTAACTGCAGGTACAAAGGATTGGATGTTTTGGAGCCCAAACCATGATGCCACTTCTCATGATACAAGCTGGTAAAAGATAAGCGCGACTTTGACTGGATTCCCATGCCCAAATCAATCCATCTGGATCGATCTATCTCCCTGTGGAGTCTCACTAAATTTCTATCAACTTGCTGTCCATAAGACAACATCCTTCTTGTGCAGAGCCAGCACAACCGGTATACAAGACAGGTTGGGACTAAAACTATGGGTGCATTCCCATAGATTTTAGATCGATCTATCCACGTGGAGAGTCTCAAGCTAGATTACTATTAGATAATCCGGCTTAAATGTCCGTCCCGCCTACTACAAGCTGTAAGGGGGTAATTAATTTCCGTGCGTGGTCGGCTAATTGTAATTTGCGTGAACACCCAGGGGGTCAGGTCGATTTAGTTGGATCGATCTAGATCTCTGGGAATGCCTTCTATGAGTACTCAGCACTCAAGTTTGTGGTACTAACAAAGTCTTACCATTTTTGATAGAAAAATGTCTTTCCGTCTTCTTCTTTAACAACATTATCAGAATCAAATTCCTCAATTCCCCCTCTCATAGACCAGTCAGGAAGTGGAGCTTTAAACAGCACCTGAAGGAAGAGATATCTACATTGATTATCAAGTATTCCAAAACAGCAAAAGCATTTCAATACACAGCACTGGTATAAACATTCATAGAAAAAGTGTCATGCCCGCCTTTTCTTTTTTAATTTATTTTGTCTTGCACAAGATTTTATGTCAATTCCAACTGTTTCATAAAAAAAAAATCTTAGAATTTCATTTCTTTGAGATACAATGCAGTGTCCATGGGTATACATGTGTATGTTCAAATGAGGTTTTTTTTAATTTTTGCATGCTATTTGCTATCAGAATTGCTATCACTTAACATTCATATCAGACTGTCCCTAACATTTGAATTAACTTTCCAAAATGAAACAGAGTTAACCTGTATTTTGGAGACCACAAATTCCAGCTGAATGTTCTCACACTCGTTAACCTGAAGTACCTCCAGTGGATCTGCCGTCTCTCCAAGCACAGTCTCAGTGGCACGCCTACAAATACAGACAAAAAATTAAACCCCCCCAAGAAAAACTGATAGTGTTAAATGTAATATAATTTATTTTACAGTTTTACAATAAACTCATAAATTCTATAAAGATAAAGTTTAAACAATTTATTCATATTTTTTACATCATAGTGTAAAAACTAATATAGAAGTCAAACAAATGTACATAAGCAATTATTATTAGACTAGTGGACATCACCTGATTTCATTCCACTTCTAATCAACCCAAGCACCAGAAAATAAATCTTCATCCAAGTTGTTGATTTATGAAACCGTTTAATATGTTTAAGAATGGCTTGAAAATACCTATTTTTTATGTCGAGTACATGTTTGTAATGAGTACCATCTTATATCACAATGTATAACATAATTTTTCCACCCTTATGTCAGGTTTGACTACTTCTCTACACAATAATAGTTGTGCTGTACTAACTTAAACCACCAAGCATGGCACATCTTGTCTCCTCCCTCCTCAAACAAGTAGGCCACCTTGGCAATGTAGAGCGGCTCAGAGGGGTCATCAGGACTAACAGAGATAAAATCTCCACATGAAACCTGGAAAATCACATTTTAATATGAACCAATAGCAAATGTCATGGAATACCCACCCACTCAGTTTGCTCTGTTCTTTTATCTGGCATGTCCTATTACTTAAATCAGCTTAAATCAAGGAGACAGTGTGTGCAAATGTCTCTGTTTATGTCCAGTTGCAACATGTGCCATTTTGACATTATCAGTCAACTAAATTTGCAGATACAATCAATTCTTGCACTTATCTTAACCACGAGGTAAAATATTGAGACAGTAGATCTATATCGATGTTTCAGTCAATGTGGTTAGAAGGTCAGGAGTTAAATTGTGGTGATACAAAAGGGTCTGACTGGCTATTTTCGTTATCTATGAAAGTCACAATTTTTATTTCCCCCAAGATGCACAAAACATTCACATTATTTAATGCGACTCACAAATGCGGCTTCTTATTCTTCACTCATTGTAAAACATCTAAAGCATTTTTATCAAATTTGTGTCACAATATTGAAAGGATTGTGAAATGCTTTAAGTGCTGTAAATAAATCTGGCAAATTTTATTTATCTAACATTTAAAAAAACAATTTTATTCTTGGGAAAACAAAAGTGAACTGAAAAGAAAAGGTTGATAACTTTGCTTCACTAACCTTTTGATCATTTATCAGGACAGCTTCAAAATATGATTTCTTGGTCTCCACTTTAATAGCCTTGCCCATCCATTCTAATGCAGACTGCACAATAAAAAAATCAAAGATTATAAACTCACATCTGTGCCTCTCAAACAATCACTCTCATCAAAACTGATAAATCTGGAGTTACGCAATAGTTGTGCTGATGAAGAAAGATACTTGTAAGAGCAGACTATCGACATCAATGCTGGCATATATTGCATATTTACATGAAAAAAGCAAAGCAAACAAGACTTTGATCTACACTAATCTGATAATGGTAATATTTTTAAATAATCATATTTTTTGGTATATAAAAACTCAGTACATTTTAAAATAAAACAGAAACATGAAAAGGCAGTTAAACAGTTAACAATATATGCCAATCAGCCATGGCAATGGCATGAACAGACACAATGATCAGAATATATGCACGCAGTCTCTTTATAAAAAGAAAACGTACATCACAAACTAGAAAAGCACTCAGAGCACAGCCTCCACAAAGACAAATAATCAACTAATGGATCATCAACAAATCTAAATCAAATCTAATCATTTATTATTAATCATTTCTGACCCGTTTCATCAAAATCTGTACATAAATAAATAAACTGATTAATTAATGGATCATCACCAAAACATAATCATTTACTCCTTGACCCATTTTGACCTATCCTGAATTTTTTATCAAAATCTGTTCAATTCTTTTTTGCATAATGCTCTCCACAGGCAAACCATTTAACTAATGGTATTAAAAATGGAACTTTCTTGTCGAAGGCTATAATCTTTATATTTAAACTGTGTTCAATACATACTGAAAATCAATATGTGACTGTGGCTTAATCCAGTTTTAAGAGCGTTTTTCAGTGAAATGGGAGCACTTACACCGAGTATGTTCATCAAATGATACACTGCCACTCTCTTGACATACATTGCTCTAGGTAAATCTACTATCTCACACTTACAAACCTTCTGTTTCTTGCTCAATTTGTGCTTCTTCTTTGGAGTGGAAGGTTCAACAGCTTTTCTCTCCTGAAAAAAACATGGTCAAAATACAATGAGAAGCATTTAATCCATAAATGCATGGGCGAAAGTTGTAAAACCTGAAAATCCTGAAAACATAGCTTGCAATTTGTAATTGCATTTAGACTACATTTTAAGAAGAAAAACAATTGAAATAAAAACTGAAAATCCTGATATCAAGAATAATCCTGAAAACTTTCACTCTTGTATTATGTATATATACTACTCAAAGGAAATCAAGGAATCCCTAGTGTTCGCAAAAAAATTTAGACACCAGACTGACATTATGTCTGACATAAACTATCTCTATGTGGACAGACACAATGATCAGAATATATGCAATCTATGCTGGAAGTTGAGAGAAGCACATTTCACATACATCAAAATTTACTTAAAGGGGAATACAAGTCTCTGGGGACCTAAATTCAATCAAATCCGACCCCCCTCTTCCCTCTAGATCTGCCCATCACGTTTTACCCACTGTGAGCGTAAGCCTAATTTTGGGGGGTTATTATCCAGTCGTGACGTCATTGCCTGAACTCTCTGACATTGGCGTGTTATGCCTTTGCATGGGTACAACATGTTTACCTTGCAAATAAAGCACTTAACGATACAAAAAATGGAACACATTATCATGGACTTTCGTGCATTTTGATTATGTAAAACATATCTTCCTTTTAGTGCTTGGACTATTTTTAAATGATTATTTAAAAGTGGCTACTCATATCATGGACACAGCTGAAACCAGGAAAACTAACTATATTAAAAAATTGAAATAAAATACTGTAAGGCTTATTTCGGCATTTATTTGCAAACGTACATTTTCTATAGTATTACCTGATTTGCTGACAGTAAGGCCTTTGGACAATAAAGGCACAACGTATGCTTTAAACGATCGAATAATACGCTTCAATTCCTGTAATGTTTCGATTCTGTTAATGTAAGCAACCTACGCCATGTGCGCTTATGTGCGTAGGTTGCTTACATCAACAGTGGGCAGATCTAGAGAGAAGAGGGGGGTCGGATTTTATTGAATTTAGGTCCCCAGAGACTTGTATTCCCCTTTAAAATCTAGCCAGCTACTACTTACAGCAACTGCATAACGTAACTAAAATGAGCTAGCTTATCAATGTAGCAATGAACTATTATGTATTTACACATTAATTATTAGACCACTGCTAGATGTTTGGGGAATACCTCAAGCACTGGCAATGTTGCATCATGTTTGGCCTACATTTGCTCCCAAGCAATGGCGTGCAGCCTCCTTTACAGAATGATCTGCTATCTTCAAATCTTACCCATAATGAGACGATGTGGAGGATTAAATGACAAGGCATGTTGGGAAATTCTTAAGCAGATCTCACTCTTCTGCAACTTGTCAAAAAGTGTGGATATTCTATTTGAGTTCAAAACAATTAACTAAGTTCCGGTAGACTATGGATTTGCTGTAAAAAGTAGGACAAAGCGGTGGATATAAAACCTAGCATTTTGCAAGGAGGCTAGAAAATGCTTGTTCAGGGCAAAACATACAAGTATCAATGCATACACTACTTTTTCTCACTAGAGCAATTCAGAGGCTAAAAGCCCTGAAAAATGGACCTGGACATACCGTATAGCTAAAAAAAAAACACGACTATTGGTACGCGTATGATCGATAACTGATTTAATTCTCGTAAGATTACCATCCGCCCCCTTCCTTATGAATAGGTATTACTTTATTAATACAATGCAACCGTCGTGTAGCCGCATGTTAGAAGACAATGTTTGATTACGCACAGCAGTAGGAGGCCGCTACCCCTTCCCAGCAAGGAGTCAACACAGCAGCGCGTAACCCGGGGTTAATTAGGGGTTAATAGCTGTCCACTTATGATCGGTATTGTTCGTCTTGATTGCAGCACACTTCCTACTCACTATTGGTTCGACCGCCTCTTCTTTAAATGCTCTCTCAAACCTTTCCTCAGTCAGCCGAGAATGGAAACACGTTTATCTGCCGATAAACTACGTCGTTGATGTATTATTCGGCATCATTCTACAGTGGGTCATAAGGCTCTATCTATCATTTTTTTCGTCTCGCATTTTACCAGATTAAGCTGACGCTCGAAAACTAAATTTAATGAATAATTTTCTCACGTGCACCGTATCCAGCTAATTTTACGACAATAACTACCACGGCACCTCCGCCATTTGCAATTGTAGACGAACCACGTGTTTCCAACTGATAGGCCAATACAACTATACCAGACCCATTGTACGAGAAAAGACCGTTTATATTTAATGAATTAAAAAACATTTGAGGATTGCGATTTTCTATTGATATACTATCGATGGTATCCCTGTATTAAATCATCCACTGCTACCCCCTCTTTTGTAGTGTAGCATGACTCGTATCACAAGATGGCCTTAGAAATGAAGTAAGACAGGCCTACACTCTGATAGTTTTTAGTCTATTATTAACCCTAATGTCGTTGCTTGTCATTCATTCTAGAACTCTCTGAGCCATCGCAAAATTATTTGCCAGGACATTTAAAGGCTACTTCTTAACGGATTTTTTTTNCGGCAGTGCCTACTGCTGTGAGCAACATGCGCTGTCCATCGTAATCCCCCTATCATTAACACTGTCGGGGACGTGCGCATTAGCGCGTCTGATGTAGACAGCGTGTGCTATTAAAGTGACCGGGGACTTATTAGCTATAGTGTAGTTTTAAATGCTCTGTCGTCCAATAGTACGGACATTGCGACTGATATGCTTTTTTTTAATTAGGTGATATAAATCTGCCATTATTATAAACGATACCATCTGTGCAATATTACAAAACATTACGAGATGTTGACATTTACATAATTATTATCATGCATACTCACAGTGTCCAATGTATCATCATTTCCTTCCTCTAACAAATCATCTTCATCTGCTGCCTTTACGGCCATATTGGGACATCTGGAAATAATTTGCATTGTTCTTTTAATTCATAAGACACCAAAGCAGAGGTGAACCTTGGCCGTTATATTACCTAGCAGTGAGTAATAACTCACATCAGTCTGATGAGGGCCAAGTCTATATGTAGGTTGGCTGCAAGCTATGGGTGCTATGAAATTATTTTCAGCTTGTGTTGAATTGTTTTCATATATGATCCAACTACCAAGCTAAAGAACATTTTTGCTCAAGTTATTATTTTCTTTTCTTTTAATGGGATATGTGTTAAGGAGCATTTAGTTACTTTCAGGACTCTTAAAATTAAAAAATAAATATAATGTATAGTCACCTGCAGGTGTTTTCTTATCATTTTTATCACTTCAGATATTAATGAGGGTAGAACTGAAGGGTTACCACCACAGATAATGACTGCAATTTTTTTCATAATAAGGTCTGACAAAGTGTTGTTCTACTTTAATTCATTAACAGATGGGTAATTAATCTATGTATTGGCCATCACACATATCAATTGATGTCTTATTTACATCACACAATCATACCGTCTTTTCTGACATGCTTGTTTACTTCTGCCTGAACCTCCAAACTTGGTCATATCTCTACAAGCCATACACTTCCCACAGTCAGGCTGCTGACAAACCTACCACAAAAACAACATATCTTCATTATTCATCTGTACAATGTAATGTAATGAAATAAAATCCAAACATAAACCAAAGACAGGAGTGGAATTGACTAAAATATGGAACACGTCTCAAGAACTCACTGCTAAATATAAAACGCTTTACTAAGATTAATTTAGAATTAAATAGTAAATGTAAGTAATGTTTCACATTGTTTACAGCCATTTGAGCAACTATATCCTGAATTTAAATTCCTCACGCGCATTCCTTTTTAACCCTTTAATTTTATGCATGTCATGCATGGTTTAAATATTTAATGATTTGTTTAGTTTTTAAATTTAAAACTTTCCAACATCTGTAGTGCAAGAACACTAGAATATTGCAAACCAGTTGTAAGGACTTACCTCACAAATTCCACACCTTTGTCTCCTTATATCTACTGCAGTTCCTTTCTCATCTATCTGGCCATCAAACATACTGTCAAATATGTTCCTAACCAGGGGGGTCACCGCAGCCAGCGTGTGTGCTGATTTGTCCTTCACTGCCTTAGCCCCACGGACCTCCTTTCTTAATGCTCTCCTGAAAATTTTTCAATATGATGTATCAGGGCTCGACATTAGCGCCTGTCCGGGACAGGTAAAAATTCAGTTCGGACAGGTGAAGTTGCAGGGTTGGCTGTCCAACGGACAGGTCATGCTTTATGAGAAATTTGGAGCAAAAATCTTTTAAAAATCATTTTTTGTTGCATACTAACGTCTTTTTGCCTCTTCCTAGACGACATTGAAAAAGAGTGACCTACTTTTGGCACAAAACACATGCAGTCGCAAAACGAAGTCTGAGCAAACTTACCGCCAAATTATGAAAGTGAACACCCTCCAGAACTTCAGCAGACAAAATTTATTCACATATCAGGTTCACTACTGAACATTTATTTAGTTAAAAATTTACGTGGTTTAGTAATAAAGACACTTCC